TATGTATCTTTGGCTCTGTGGCAGAGGACTTGCCTTGTCTGTGCATGTGTATGTACAAGGCCCCGTTCTAAAAGAAATAGATGAGGCATGTGCTCCCGGGAGACACTTTCAGAGGGTGCTACATGTTCAGGGTGGAAAGAGAAGACCCCCTGCAGTGCACCACCAGTCTAATTCATCGGCTAGCAGGAAGGGGCAGATTTGACAGGAGGAATGTTCCCTAACTACTGGGGGGTTTGGCATCACCAAAGTTTGCTCTGGGTATGAGGGAGGAGTCTACCATCTGTCCCTGAGGAAGCTGGTTGATTGTCCTGACAGAAACATCCACGTCTTTAGGGGTAGGGGACTTGAGAGCTCTTCTTGGGGGAGGAGGGCGGTTGAAAGAAGGCGGATCCTATGCTGGTTTGAGGAAGGGAGTTAACGGTGGGTTCTTAGTTGTTTGCAATGGAGCAAAATACCTTTGGGTATTTTTCAGTGGACAAAATGTCCAGCCCTTCCAGAGAGCCAGGCTCCTGCTGCCTGGTCAACAGGTGCACAGTTCAGGGTCCTCGACCTGAACTCTCTCTCCGAACCAGAGATAAGTCAGCCATTTTTCACTGGCTAACAATCATTAACCCACCTCCACCTGGATCCCCGACTTGTTTTTCTGGCAAATGAACTAGTCACTCCCTCTGAAGGTGACAGAGGCTGAACCAGCACCCAGTTTCCACAGTCCACCACGAGACGCCTCCCCCACCCATCACTTGGTTAAAAGAAAGAAAAAAGAAACCCACCTAAAGTTGTAAAGAAAAAAATTAAATTAAACTTAAACTATATGGCTGGGGCTGTAGCTTCTTTAGAAGTGTGCTCTCCACAAACCAGGAGTAGTGGTACAAAATCAATCCCAGCATTCAGGAGATGGAGGCCGTACAAGGTCATTCTTGACTGCAGAGGGAATTTAAGGTCAGTCTTGGCTGCAGACACTGTTTTCAAACACACACACACACACATACAAACACACACACACACACACACACACAGAGTGAGCTATATCCTGGCTGCAGTTTGTAAACAAGACTTACTTTAGCAATACTAACTTAGAAAGTAAACGAAGCCCCTCTCTCAGTAGAACCCAGAGTCCCAGCCAGAATACAGGACTCAGCTCCAAATAGAACCAGAGTTTCTTTTTTGGTAGTAAATATAGTTTTGGCTGGTGTGTGTGGTGAGCCTCACCCCTTCCTCTCTTGGCTCCCTGCTGGCAAATAAACCTGAAGGAATGAGTCAATCTCACTCTGGAGAAGGTGACAGACAGGACATCCTGCTATTTAAGGGTGGGCCAGACTGCACTCTCTGGCCCCTTTCCTTCATTTTCTTCCCAAACTTCTGGCTGTCTGTAAAAAAATGCCCAGTGTCCCCGCTGGTTATCGTATGTCACAAAGAGGAGTCCAATCCTTCCCACCCTTCGTGTTTTTCATCTTTCACTGGAACCTCCCAGCTGACATTTAGATGCCCAGAGTTTTTCAGGACCCATTAGGGACTCACTGGAATTTGTACAAATAAGAGACAATTTCAATACAAAGAGCCCTCAGTTTTGGTCACTTTGTCTGGCTCCCTGTCCCCCATAGACTGCCAGTACCCCAGAGATCAGCCAGGATTTAGCTTGGAATGACTGAGTCGGAGAGACATGGTCCTTGGGAAATGTTGGTTAAATTGAGCTGGAGAATTTATTTTTTAAAGAAAATGGCAAGAATTGGAGGGAGGGGGCTAGAGAGATGACTCAGTGTTTGAAAGCATGTACTACTACTACTCCTGCACAGGACTCAGATTCAGTTCCCAGGACCCACAGGGTAGCCCACAACTGCCAGTAAAACCAGCTCCACACTGACCTGCACACAACCACACACAGACCCATAAACATAATTAAAAATAGATCTTTAAAAAGAGTCCTTTTTTTTCAAGGCAGGGTTTTTTTTCTGTACCTTTAGAGCCTGTCCTGGAACTCTCTCTGTAGACCAAGCTGGCCTCTAATTTACAGAGATCCGCCTGCCCCTGCCTCCCGAGTGCTGGGATTAAAGGTGTGTGCTGTGCTGCACACACACACACACACACACACACACCACTCCCACTCGTCCACAAGGGCTTTTCTTTATCTGTATATCTGTTTGTTTGTTTGTTTTTGTAGTGCTGGTGAACAAACGCAGAATCTCATGCCACACAACTGTTAAGCGGCTGAGCTATCCTTCCACCCCTTAGTGAATTTGGTCTTTTGAGGCAGAGTCTCGCAGTGTAGCTCAAACAGGTCTTGAACTGGCAGCCTCCTGGGTTCACTCCCTGCTAGGATTACAAGCATACACTATCATAGGAAGTGACGTAATTCCTTAAACAACTGGATACTTAGCTAGGCCTCCAGAAGACCAAATATTCTGTCCACCGGATTTGCCTTTTGTGATACCCTAGACCTTGGAGGATCCACAGTTTCTCTCTTCAGTCAGTTTTCCAACCGGCTAGGGTCCTCTGGGCTTCATCTCTTTCTGCACACGATAAAAATTTGCTGGAAGCAGCAAGAAAGAGCTGGGAGGTCAAAGATGAGGTCCAGGAAATAGTCTCATCATGTAATCCAGAGCTGACCTAGAGGGCCCCCGCCCCCACTCCACATAGCAGGCAGGCTGCAACAGAGCCTGCCACAGCCTCTGCATGCTCAGAATAGGACATCAACCCCCGTTCTGAACCCTTATCTCACTGGAGCATTCTCCGGGAGTTCCTCGGAAGATAGCGCTCTCAGTCCGCTCTCCACACGCTGAGCACGTGACAGAACCCCGCCTGACACAGAGAGCCCAGTTCCTCTCCTCGCAGAGACCCAGACAGTGGCCTTTGGATGCTTCGTCAGAGAATCCGCTGTTTCTCTTCAACTCACCTCAATCCATAGAAACTCGAGTCCTAGGATCACCACAGCGGATACTCAGTACTCTCTAAGAAGATGTACCTGGTCTAGAGGGAAGAGGCTGTCTCTTCTGCTGTGACACCCTCCTGATGGCCCCCATAGTCTTGACAGTAAAGGATACAAATGTCCCAGCCTCCTAAAACACTGAGCACCGGCTTCCTCTGTGGCCACGAAGAGTCAACACCGCCTCACTGTCTCTCCAGGTTAGAGACAATATGGGTAGTGCAATCAGAGTCTGCTAGAGATAACGGCAGTCCTTGATGGCAGCCCTGAATGATGCCAGATCTCACCTCCAGGTCCAAAGCACATACCCTGGGAGATGTGCGGATCATTTCCAGCATGGGATGCCCTCAGCTTTAGGGAGTCTGGATTTCTTCTCACTGCCCCCAATCTAATCCCTATGTGAAAGTTAATATGGATTACTGCTGGGAAAATCATGTGGGCTCTCAAGTCTTTTATTCCTACTGGTTCTGCCCTTGAAAAAAATGCATGGATCTGTCACTTAATTCACTTCCCTGCTTCCCTCTGAGTCCTCTGTGACAGGAGAGTAAGGCTTTTGCTCTGTCCCTTGTATTGGGTTGATTTATAAATACACAGAAAGAATAAGCAAGACACTAATGCCTCTTCCCTTTCCTTTTCCTCTCACTTCCTTCCTTCCTCTTTTTTTTTTTTAAGACATGGTCTCTCTATGTAGTCCTGACTGCCTTAGAACTCGATACATAGACCAGGCTGTCCCTTGAACTCACTGAGATCCTCCTGCCTTTGCCCCCTGAGTGCTGGGATTAAATATGAGTGTCACTACACCTGGCTCTAAAGCCTTTTCTCAAAAACGACTAAGATGAGGCAGAGACTTAGCGCACTGGCTGGAGTAAGTGGCCGGCGTGCAGGAAGCCCAGGGACACACAGCACCACACACACAGGGAATGGCAGGGCCAGCTCATGGTCCAGCACCTGGGAGACAACAGGGTTTAAGACCATGGTTGTCCTCTTGTACATAGTGAATTTGAAGCCTTTGATGCAGGAGATCTGATGTCAAAGAACAGAACCTTTTCGAAAATTCGAAAACTAAAAATTTCTAACTTTTCCTCTAGAGTCTCCAGTTGCCAACTTACTAGATTCCTGTTTAGAGTCACGTGTCACGTGTCACATGTCATGTGTCCATTTTATTGTGTAGCTCGGAGCTGGCCTACTTGGCTAGCATGCTTGAGGTTCTGTAATGGATTCCCAACAACACCCGCACGCAAGAAAAACAACTTACATCTTAAAATTCAAAAGGTCTTAGTTTTAAGGTAATTCAGTGAATTGATCACTGCATTAAAAAAGTGATTGCTCTAGGGCTGGGCAAGACGACTCAGGTAAAGGTGCTTGCGGCCAAGCCTGAGGACCTGAGTTCAATCCCCGGTACTCACACGGTGGGATGGTGGGAGGAGAGACCTGACCCCTGACAGGCATCCTCTGATCTAGACACAGGCACTTTGTCACACTCACACACTCACACACACCTAAATGAAAAGCATCTTCAACAATTGTTTACTTGCCCTAAGAAATACGAAATCAATATTGGAAAGGCTGCTGACTTCACAAACCAGAGGTAAAGCCCGAACCCGTATGAAATTGATGAAAAGCCAACAGAGCGACAGTTCCCAGGACAGCAGAACCTATTGTACGTTTTGTGTATTTTAAATTAATAACTTAAAACGTCAGTCCCCACAGCGGCAAACTTCCCTTTGTCTCCAAATAAATGCAGCTGCAGACTTCAAAAAGCAGACGCCCTGCAGGAACCATGGTGGAAACAGACTCTGCCCGGGGTGTCTGGCTGGCTTCAAGGGCCAGGGAGGAGGACAGCCCCTAGCGCTGTCAAGCAGTGTGCCCAGGTTAATAATTGGCTCTGCCAATAGCAGATCAGGCTGTTTTTGTGTGCCTGTTTTGCTATTTTACGTAAATCACCCTGAACATGTTTGCATCAACCTACTGATGATGCACCTTTGATCAATAGATTTTAGACAAAAGTGGTTTTTGAGTCCAAAGATCAGGGCTGGGTTGACCTGCAGACTGCATCCAGGCATATAAAACAGGGGCACGGCGCAAACTGATAGCAGAGCAATCGCCATCAAGCCTGGACTCACTGCACAGGCTCTGCTGCCAGGCTCCCAAGGTACCCAGGCAATGAGGATGGAGGAAGGAATGAACGTTCTCCACGACTTTGGGATCCAATCAACCCGCTACCTCCAAGTGAATTACGAAGACTCTCAGGACTGGTTCATTTTAGTGTCTGTGATCGCTGACCTCAGGAATGCCTTCTACGTCCTCTTCCCCATCTGGTTTCATCTTCAAGAGACTGTGGGCATCAAACTCCTTTGGGTGGCAGTGGTTGGGGACTGGATCAACCTCGTCTTTAAGTGGTAAGAACCATGCAGAGGGGGTGCTTAGCAGGGGAAGGGCTGCTTTCTCTCTAGAAATGACTGTCCTTCAGCATGGGCACTCCATACTGCTCACAGAGCCACAGTTTAGACCTCCCTTGGCATCGGAGTATCACCAGAAGGAACGAAGACAGTAGGAATTGCACCAGTGCCTGGGAACAGGGAAAGTCTATTTTATCAGACCTGAAGGAGTGAAAAGTCAGAGTGTAGTCTTTGTTCTAGTTTGTTTTGCTTTATTATTATTTTATTTTATTTTTAAAGGTCTTGTGTAGCCCAGGCTGGCCTCCAACTGACTATGTAACAGGCAGTGAATGACCTCAAATTCCTCTCCTGCTGGGATTACAGGTGTGTGTTCCCACGTGCAGGTTAGCATCCTGGAGTTTGAACCTGGGGCTTTGTGCATGATAGCAAGGATGGGACCAATTGAGCTGAATCTCCAGCCCCTGAATGCAGGTTTTATTTATTTATTATTTATTTATTTATTTATTTATTTATTTATTTGAGCTGAATGAATCTCCAGCCCCTGAGCGCAGGATTTATTTATTTATTTATTTATTTATTTGGTTTTTGGAGACAGGGTTTCTCTGTGGCTTTGGAGGCTGTCCTGGAACTAGCTCTTGTAGACCAGGCTGGCCTCGAACTCACAGAGATCCGCCTGCCTCTGCCTCCCAAGTGCTGGGATTAAATGCGTGCGCCACCAACGCCCGGCATGAGTGCAGGTTTTAAAGAAACGGTTTTGTTACTTGGAAGAAGAATAGTACCTTAGAAATAGATGTAGGAAAGAAGCAGGGAGGCTGTGAAAAGGAAGCCAGTGATCCGACGCTTTGGGTAGGTAGAGAGAAGTGATCCAGATAGCCAGGACCTTGCTCTGTCACCTTCCAACTGTGTGTCCTCAGAGGGCTACATGAACTCTCTGAGCTTGTTTTAGAGTCTGCACATTTTTTTTTTTTTTTTGGTTTTTCGAGACAGGATTTCTCTGTGGCTTTGGAGGCTGTCCTGGAACTCACTCTGTAGACCAGGCTGGCCTCGAACTCACAGAGATCCGCCTGCCTCTGCCTCCCGAGTGCTGGGATTAAAGGCGTGTGCCACCAACGCCCGGCCGAGTCACCACATTTTTTATTCTCTCCAGAATCTTAATAATAATCACAGTGGACTGTGCGCAGTTTATTTTTATATTATTTATTGAGCAGTTACTATGTGCCAGGCTTTCGCGTGCGTGCGTGCGTGCGTGCGTGCGTGCGTGCGTGCGTGTGTGTGTGTGTGTGTGTGTGTGTGTGTGTGTGTGTGTGTGACTGGACCAGAGCTTGCCGAGTAGGTCAGACCCTGGGGTCCCCAGCCTGTGTACATTGCCGTTATGCCACCATGCCGAGGTTTGGGTTTTTTGTTTTGTTGTTGTTGTTGCTTTGGTTTTTTGGTTTGATGTTTTGATGGGTTCTGGTGATGGAATCAGGTTTCATAGCAGGCACTTTACCTAATGAGACACCCTCAGCCCCTTCCCTACTTTACCTGGGGACTTTTTGTTTTTGTTTTTGTTTTGAGACAGGGTTTTTCTGTATTGTTTTGGCTGGCCTCAAACTCACAGAGATCCGCCTGTCTCTGCCTCCAAAATGTGCGCCACCACTCCTGGATTTTGATTGTGTTTTTTAAGTTGGGGCTGGGGGTGGCAAGAGTGGGGGGCGGGAGCAGCATGGAAGAATCATCTCATTCTGTAGCCCAGATTAAATAGTCTGGTCTTGACCCATGCCTCCTCTCAAGTGTTGGGACTACAGGTGTGAGCCACCAGGCCTAGCTTGTTTGTTTTTAAGTTCCATGGGGGTGGGCTTTGAACCTGAAGGCAGAGCCTTGTCCATGCTCTTTATCCTTGAGCTGTATCCTCAGCCCATGAGATTTTTTCCTTAAAGGATAGTCTCTTTCTGTGTGGCCTATACTGACTTCCAATTTATAATCCTCAAGCCTCAGGCTTCGGGTCTAGGAATAGAGGTGTACACAACTGTACCCAGTTCCAGGGCATTCTCTGTCTTGTTTTTGAGTCAAGGACTCAACGTGACATCAGTTGGCCTGAAACTTAGTAAGTGGTTGACAATCACTGCCTGTTGTGAATGAGTCTGTGCGAGCATGCGTGAGTGTGTGCTTGCGTGCGTGCGTGCGTGTGTGTGTGTGTGTGTGTGTGTGTGTGTGTGTGTGTGTGTGTGTGTGTCAGCATGCTTATGGAGGTCAGAGGACAGCTTGCAGGAGTATATTCTCCCCTTCCACTGTGTGGTTACCAAGGATACAACTCAGGTCATCAGGCTTATGGGCAAGTGCCTTCACCAGCCCATCCATCTTTCTGGCCCTCTCCTGGTGATTCTTAAGGTTCATCTCTAGTTCTCATATTCTTAGCCCATATGTAGTAAAAGTCTTTAAGAGTAGAGCAAATTGGGTTCTGGATTGAATAAAAGGCTTCAAATATGCTAATCAACTTGAGGTGGTGGCTCAGTCAGTGAACATTTGTCTTATAAGCCCAAGGACCTGAATTTGATCCCCTGAAAATGCTGGGCATGGTGGAATGCATTTATAATTCCAATACTGGTGTGGTGAAGACAGGTAGTTTAGTTAAGGTTTCTATTGTGATGAGATATCATGACCATGGCAACTAGCTGGCTTACAGTTTCAGAGTTTTAGTCCATTATCATCATGGCAAAAGCATGGTAGCATGCAGGCAGACATGGTGCTGGAGAAGACATGGTGCATGGAGCTGAGAGTTCTACAACTTGACCCACAGGCAGCAGGAGACTGTCTACCACACCGGGCATAGCTTGAGCATATGAGACCTCAAAGCCCATCCCCATAGTAACACAAGGCCACACCTACTCCAACAAGGCCACACCTCCTAATAGTGCCATTCCCTATGTGCCAAGTATTTAAATACCTATTCAAACCACCACACAGTGGAACACTGGAGCTAATAACCTAACTGGTAAGTTTCAGGTCAGAGAGAGGCCCCTTGTTAAAGAGGCAGATGGCCTTCTGGAGGTTGACCTCTGACCTCCACAGCACTTGTGCACCCACACACATAAGTTAGAGAGATTGGGGGGCAGGTAAAGAAGGAGAAAGGGAGGGGTCAGGATCTTGGCTGTGTTGCCTAGGCTAGCCCCAAAGTCTTGTTCTGAAGTGATCCTCTTGCCTTCCAAATAGCTAAGGCCACCACTGCATCTGATTTGGGAAGCTATTATTTATGTTTGAATAAATAATACATTCACCTGTTAAAATTTCAGAAGTTGCAATGGTGATGGTGGCGGTGGCACACGCCTTTGATCTCAGCATTCAGGAGGCAGAGGCAGGCAGATCTCAGTGAGTTTCAGGCCAGCCTGGTCTACAAAGCAAGTTCCAGGACAGCTAGGGCTGTTACATAGAAAAGCTCTGTCTTGAAAAAAAAATTTCAGAAGTTATCTGTTTCACACAAAGTCCACCCCCCCTAGGCCTTTCCCAGGCAAATGGAGATGCATATCTCCAAAGGCACCAAATATTCCAGCCTCTTTCTCTCTTTGAAAGTGTGGGCTTCCAGTAAGATCATGCACTGTAGTCACTTGGACACTGGCTCTGCTTTCCACAGGATTCTTTTTGGACAGCGCCCATACTGGTGGGTCCTGGACACGGACTACTACAGCAACACCTCAGCACCCCTGATAAAGCAGTTCCCTGTCACCTGTGAGACTGGACCAGGTGAGAGTCCCAGCCCTTCCTGAAGTGACGTGCACCAACATCCTGTGTGGATTATGCTGACCTTGATGGGGCCTGAGGACGGCCATTACTTCATTCTTTTGTGACAACTTAATTTGTCTTCCATTTAGTACACTTTAACCCTAATTTTTGGCAGCAGGGCCTTCCACTGCTATTTGGGAAATCTGAGTGATACTTTCAGGACTAAAGTTACCAGTCTGAGAGAGGCAGGGCCACACCCATAGGCAAAAGACTAGTCAGAGTGACTGAGTCATAACCCTGTATCTAGAGAGGTAAAAGAGATTGAAGGAAGTCTGAGACATTATTGTCCTTCCTAGAAGCCTGGCCTAGTGACCAAGGTCCTCTAAGCTGACTGTCCATCCCTCAAGTTATGTGAAGTTTTTATCTTTTTGGGAGGTTGTGTAGGCAGAGTTCTTCTGTCCCACCAGCCAGCTCCCAAATAACCACACAGAGACTTACTATTAACTATAAATGCTCGGCTGATAGCTTAGGCTTGTTACTCACTAACTCTTACATCTTAAATTAACCCATATTTCTTATCTACAGTCTACCATGTGGCAGTACCTTTTTTCAACATGTTTTTCTCCTGCTTCTCTCACTGTCTTCTTTCGACTCCTTGTGTTTCTACCCTTCTTCTTCCCAGCACCCTCTTAATTTGTCTCTCTCTCCTAATCTCTTTCTGCCTAGCTACTGGCCACTCAGCCTCTTATTAAACCAGTCAGAAGGTGCCTTGATAAAGACACATCTTCACAGTGTACAAAAAGATTATTTCATAACAGGTTGTTTCTTTGCTTTGAGGTAGGTTCTCAGGTAGGCCAGAATGACCCTAAACTCACTATGTGATTGAAGAGGATCTTGAATTTCTGATCCTCCTGCATCCCCAACCCTCCTGAGATACTAGATATGCTAGACAAGTATGCTAGCAACTGAGCCACATCCCCTGGCCAACCTGTGTTTCATTAGATATGGCCAGATAGGAATTATTAGATCAAATGATAGATTTTTTTTTGTAATAGAAATATCCAGGCTGGACGGTGGTGGCTCAACTTTTAGTCCCAGCACTTGGGAGGCAGAGGCAAGTGATGTCTATGAGTTCAAGACCAACCTGGTGTATAGAGAGAGTTCCAGTACAGACTCCAAAGCTACACAGAAAAACCCTATCTCAAAAAAAAAAAGAAGCAAGGGAGGAATGGAGGAAGGGAGGAAGCAATATCCAATAAGTTCTTCCCAGGAAGTCTCAGTGCTCCTCAGTATTCCTTCCCTGGCCTTCTGCTAGGAAACATCTTGGATGTTTAGTCTCAGAGACCATTGGTTTTTTATTGAGGACCTACTATGTGTCAAGCCTTGTTTGAGATGCCTGAGATACCTTTGCTGGCTAACAAAACAAAGGTCCTGGACACAGAGCTGAAGTTTTTGTTTGTTTGTTTAAGATTTATTTATCACATATACAGTGTTCTGCCTCCATGCCAGCAGTGGGCACCAGATTGAATTGTAGATGGTTATGAGTCACCATGTGGTTGCTAGGAATTGAACTTAGGACCCCTGGAAGAGCAGTCAGTGCTCTTAACCTCTGAGCCATCTCTCCATCCCCAAGAGCTGAAGTTTGCAGTGGGTATGGTGTGTCAGTATACAAAAATGATAATAGATCAATAAAACAGACTGTTAGAAGATGATGGTTTGAGTGCAAAAAGAAGACAGGGAAGAGAGAAGAGGAGGCTGGAGAGATAGCTAAGCAGTGAAGATCACTGGCCACTCTTCCAAAACAGCCCAGGCTCAGTTCCCAGTGTCCACATGGCATCCCACAGATGTCTGTAACTTCAGTTTCAGGGGATCCAGTGCATCTCTGGATACTTCATGCACATGGCAAACAGACATACATGCAGGCATAACACACATACACACACATAATATTTTTTTAAATAGGAGAGGAGAGAGAGTTTGTCCATGGGGTCTGCTGGAATGCTGACTGGAATGGAGATGAGAGAGCAGCAGATAACTCTCTGGAGCCACAATTGTGCAGGGGAAGGGATGCGCTGATGGGCAGATGGAGAAGTCCAGTTGTAACTAAATCTCACGTGACTCCACAAGGAGCTCTCAAACTGGAGATGTCTCTTAATACAGACCAGTTATGGGATACAGGCTATACCTAGGTATAGAGGATGACCTTGATTAAGACGGCTGTCTTCAGCTCAAAGCCAACCCTACAAATGGCTAGGAACTAAGGACAGCCTACACCTATGTATGCTCTTAGCAGCTGGAAAACTATTGTTCTGTCTTGGAGGGAATACGGGTGGCAGATCTCAAGAATGGGAAACAACTATAAGTTGGTCAGAGGAAAAAAAAGTTAACCGGAGGAATTATGGGAGAAGAGCATGCCTGATATGTTTAGGGGCAAGCAACGAGGCAGTGTGGCCAGAGCACAGTGAGAAGGAAAATAGAAGGGGACTGATGGTTGACAGATCAACATGTAACTTGCACACACAACGTCCTGATTCCTGTGCAATCTCCAGACCATCTGAGACTACAAAGGTAGTGATGACCTCTCTGGTTTTGCTGGCCGCCATGCTTCCAGATCCCTGAACAATCTTGGCACATAGTACGAATTCAGTTTGTTAAATAATTGAATTATAGATAAATGAGTGGATAGTAAGAAGAACGGATAGTCAGATGGAAGGCATGATTAATGGATGGGTTGCTGGATGGGTGACTGGCAGTTTCTCAAATGGACATCTTTCCACCATTAGTCTATTCATCTCTTTTCTGTCATTTAGGGAGTCCTTCCGGCCATGCCATGGGCGCAGCAGGTGTATACTATGTGATGGTCACCTCTACCCTCTCTATCTTTCGTGGAAAGAAAAAGCCAACATATGGATTCCGGTAAGAGCTCACCGCTGGGGATGTGGGTAAGCAGGAAGTTGCAAACTCTGTTGCTGACATAGAGCTTTTCTTCCTACTTCCACAAGCCCATTTTCACATGGACAGTTGGCACGAGTCAGAGTCACAGCACTTCTGCTGTGAGTTAACATCAAAGACACGGAATGTTAGGGCCAGAAGGAAAACACCAGGGCAACTCTTGATTTAGACAAATAAACAAAGCTTACCACCATGGATAGGAATTCAAAAGATCATCTAGAGCATTGATTCTCAACCTGTGGGTCATGACCCCTTTGGGATTGAGTATCAGATTTTTATATCATGATTCATAACAGTAGCAAAATTATAGTTATGAGGTAGGAACAAAATATTTTATGGTTGGGGGTCACCACAACATGAAGAACTAACTATATTAAGGGGTTGCAGCATGAGGTAGGTTGAGAACCACTGATCTAGAGAGTGACAAAGCTTAGATTAAATTAATTATTTCATCCATACATTTATGGGTTTGGTTCCATTATTCAAACTCAGGACTTTGTGCATGTTGTATAACTACTGTATCACTGAGCTATATCCCCAGCACAAAAAAAGAAAGAAAAAGAAAGCCAGTCAGGCCGGACGTTGGTGGCGCACGCCTTTAATCCCAGCACTCGGGAGGCAGAGGCAGGCGGATCTCTGTGAGTTCGAGGCCAGCCTGGTCTACAGAGTGAGTTCCAGGACAGCCTCCAAAGCTACAGAGAAACCCTGTCTCGAAAAACCAAAAAAAAAAAAAAAAAAAAAAAAAAAGAAAGAAAGCCAGTCAGTGATCAGTGATGGTGCAAGCATTTTTGTTTTTGTTTTTTGTTTTGTTGTTGTTGTTTGGTTTTTTGTTTTTGTTTTTGAGACAGGGTTTCTCTGTGTAACAGCCCTGGCTGTCCTGGAACTCACTTTGTAAACCAGGTTGGCCTTGAACTCATAGAGATCTTCTTACCCGTGCCTCCTGAAAGCAACGGTACAAGTCTTTAAGCCAGAGCTACACAGAGAAACTGTGTCTTGAAAAACAAAAACAAACAAACAAAATCCCAATTTTGTATCAACCTGGAGTCACCTCATAGTTTAAAATAAACAGATATAAGATATTCCTAATGTGGGGACCCTAGGTATGCAGTTACAGTGTAAATCCTTAGTTATCAGATAAAATTGGGTAGTTAAGCCAGGTTTGGTGGCATACGCCTTTAATCCCAGTATTCAGGAGGCAGAGGCAGGTGGATCTCTATGAGTTTGAAGCCAGCCTGGGCTACAGAGAGAGTTCCAGGAGAGCCAGGGCTACTACACAGAGAAAGTCTATCTTGAAAAACCAAAAAAAAAAAAAAAAAAAAAAAAAAAAAGAAAGAAAAGAGGGTGGTAGTTAAAATGCATATAAAAGGGGACTAGAGAGATGGCTCAGGGATTAAGAACACTTCCAGAGGACCCAGGTTCAGTTCCCAGCACCTATGTGGTGGTTCAGCATGGTCTGTAACCCCAGTTCTAGGAGAGCTGACTGCATCTTCTGACCTCTGTGGACACCAGGTATGGACATGGTATACAGCCATACGCACAACCAAGACACACATCATAAAAAGTATATAAATGACACAGGCATGGTGGCACCTGACAAGTGCAGGATCAGGGGTTCAAGATCACCCTTGGCTACGTAGTGAGTTTGAAGTCCACCTGGGCTGTATAAGGCCCTTCTGAAGAAAAATGAAAAGCAAAAGCCCTTCGGGGCTGGAGAGACTGCTCAGGAGGTTAAGACGCCTGCTGTGTGATCCTCATAAAGGTGAAGGAGAAAACCAGCCCCGCAAACTTGTCCTCTAACTTCCACACACATGCTGTGACACATGTATTCCTCTCCCACATCACATACAGAAATACAACAACAATAAATTAAAGGGTTTGTTAAATTAAAAATAATCACACAAGCAGTCTTGGTTACTTTTCTATTGCTTTGATGAAACACCATGACCAAGGCAACTGGAAGGAAGGGTTTGGGGCTTGGTTCCAGAAGGAGAGAAGGGATCCATCGTGGGCAGAGAAACATGGAAGCAGGAACAGCGAGAGCTCACATGTTGAAGCAGGAAGTAGGGAGAGCGGTTTCAATACTCAAAACGGCCTTACCCTCCCAAAACCTGCTCTTACTGACTTACTCCCTCCCACAAGGCCACACCTCCTAATCCTTCCCAAACAAAGCCACCGACTGGAGATCAAGTAACAAATGCCTGAGAATACAAGGGAGACTTTACTCAAGCCACCACAAGCACCATGCATTTTTGAGTGGGTCTCCCGATTTCCAAAACTTCCTCTGACAGGCCTCAGTTTGCCAGGCTCCTCCATCCCCAGCAGGGTGGCTTTCTTTGGTGAAGGACTGACATTTGGGTTCTGAAGTGCTTGTCTGTTCTCTTGCAGGTCCTTGAAAGTCCTCCTGTGGTTGGGATACTGGGCCGTGCAACTGAACGTCTGTCTGTCCCGGATCTACCTTGCAGCTCACTTTCCCCACCAGGTTGTGGCTGGAGTCCTGTCAGGTATCCACCGCTCTGACTTCTTCCCTACCCTGTTTCTTCTGCACCTCCCTTACTCGGCGAGGCCTCCGAGCCGTCGGTCTTTCGCTAGTTTCAAAGTCAAGGGTGGGTGGGAGGCAGGCCAAGGAAGTGGCCTTGTCTATAAACCAGCATGAAGACCTGAGATGATTCCCAGCATGCACTTAAACAGGCAGCCACAGTGGTACATGCCTGTATTCCCAGAGCTGGGAAGGCAGAGACAGGAGGATCCCTGGAGCTCACTCGGTGAGCTGACCTCCAGGTCCCAAGGGCAGAACCTATGAAACAAACAAACAAAGCCAACAAGGTGGACGACCCTGAGGAACAACACCTGAGGCTGACCTCTGGCCTCCACAGCACATGCTCACAAGAGCATCCGTACACATAAACACACAGGCACGCAATTGGAAATTCTTAGTTTCTACAGCTTTCTCAGAGCTGTACAACTAAAGATACCCCAGAAAAGCTAACTCACCCAACTGTTTGTTTAAAGTCCCCAAACTTCTTTTTTTCTTTTTCTTTTTTAAGATTTATATATAAGCCGGGCATTGGTGGCGCACGCCGTTAATCCCAGCACTTGGGAGGCAGAGGCAGGCGGATCTCTGTGAGTTCCAGGCCAGCCTTGTCTAAAGAGCGAGTTTCAGGACAGCCTCCAAAACAATACAGAGAAACTCTGTCTCAAAAACAAAAACAAACAAAAAAGATTTATATATACAGTGTTCTGCCTAAATGCCTGCCTGCAGGCCAGAGGAGGGCACCCGATCTCATTATAGATGGCTGTGAGCCACCATGTGGTTGCTGGGAATTGAACTCAGGTCCTCCGGAAGAGCAGCCAGTGCTTTTAACCACTGAACCATCTCTCTAGCCACATGTGTAAGCTTCTTACATTCTTTATTTCTCACTGATCTTCAATTTGAAGCAGCCCCTAGTTCCTTTTCAGAGGACCTATCAAATGTACAATGCCTTAGGAGAGTTCATTATTGAAATACATTCATTTGCAGACCTGACAGATGTCTGCAGCTGGTGTTCTCTTGTGGGCTCAGAGGTTTGTGCTTTTGCATTTGCTGAGATCAAATTAGAAAGAAAAGATTTAGGTTAAACATTAAAAAAAATAAAAAAATAAAAATAAAATAAAAAATAAAAACAGCCGGGCATTGGTGGTGCACGCCTTTAATCCCAGCACTCGGGAGGCAGAGGCAGGCGGATCTCTGTGAGTTCGAGACCAGCCTGGACTACCAAGCGAGTTCCAGGACAGCCTCCAAAGCCACAGAGAAACCCTGTCTCGAAAAACCAAAAAATAAATAAATAAATAAATAAATAAATAAATAAATAAATAAAAACAGGGGCTCAGCACATAAAATTAAGTTAAATACAAAACAAAAAACTCTATAAAGCAATATCTAGATTTGGGGCTGGGGGAGGAGGCAGAGCAATTGCAAGTCTGAGGACCTGAGTTTGATCCCTGGAACTCACAGCATTCCAGAAACAAGACCCACCACACACAACAGGAAACTCAAATGCAGTGGAAAGATGTATGTGATACAATTCTTTCACCTGAAAGATACTATGTTGTGCCTTTACGCCCTCCACTTTAGTGTGTGACTTAATTTCACCTGGTGGGATGATGGCCTGTCACCCACTGCAACCTCTATTTCTCACAGCGCTTTCTTCTGCACAGGCATTGCTGTGGCTGAAACTTTCAGCCACATCCGGGGCATCTACAATGCCAGCCTCAAGAAGTATTGTCTCATCACCTTCTTCCTCTTTGGTTTCGCACTTGGATTTTACCTGCTGCTAAAAACGCTGGGCGTGGACCTGCTATGGACTTTGGAGAAAGCCAAGAGATGGTGTGAACGGCCAGAATGGGTCCACCTCGACACCACGCCCTTTGCCAGCCTCTTTAAAAACCTGGGGACCCTCTTTGGGTTGGGGCTGGCCCTCAACTCCAGCATGTACCGGGAGAGCTACAAGGGAAAAGTCGGCAAGTCACCCCCATTCCGCCTCACCTGCATTGTGTCCTCCTTGGTCCTCCTGCACCTCTTTGACACTTTGAAACCCCCATCCCAGATTGAACTGGTTTTCTACGCTTTGTCCTTCTGCAAGAGTGCGACAGTTCCCTTTGCCTCTGTCAGTCTCATCCCCTACTGCCTAGCCCGGGTTCTGGGCCAGACACACAGAAAGTCTTTGTAAGGGATGTGGGACCTGTGGTGTTTAAAGTCACAGCCATGCAAAGGGTTGGGGGCTGCCAAAGCCTCCTGCATTCCAGGCCAGAGGTGTTCACATCAACCCTGGTAACCCTGTCTTTCTTTGCTATCTTAACCAAAAAGGTGAATTTTTAAATGCTAACAGGGCTGTCTGAGAAAACCTTGAGAGCTACAAGTTGGGTCATTCTGGAATTTTCCCAGAAGACCCACTTGCCACTCTCCTGTCAGAGAAAGCAAGCCCAGGCCAGAGATCCTGACTGCAAATTCTCTCCCTGTTCAGAATGCTCCCAGCTGGGAAAAGGGCACAGTGCATTTGCAAGGAAGAGGCAGAAAGACCAGGAGGCAGGGAAGTGTTTCGTGTATTGAGCAAACCACTTGCCAGGCCATGTCTAAACGGCTTCAGTTATGTCTGAGTCTTTAGATAGGACACTCTTGATAATAGTAGATGAACTTAAAGTGTAATGAGCAGCCAGTTAAGGCGGTAATTGGACTTCTGGCTTTTCTCTCCTGGGTGCCTGTGTTACTGAATGGCTATGGTGGCTGTGTTACTGCACAAGTCAGAAGACACAGGTGTCATCGACTTCTCTGTCAGTCTGTCTCCACAGCCTACGTCTACATTCCCTGGAGTCCTCCACAGCTTCTCTGCCGCTGCGGCTGAACCCTCAGATGTCCGGCGGGCGACTGTTTGGTGCTGCTTTTTATAGGGTTAAGTTAAACTGAAACCTTGGGCAAAAGGACAAGGGGAGAGAGCCAGGGTGTCTCTCCAGAAGGTCACTCCGATGTTACTTTTGATTCCTGGAACAGAAATATGACTCTTTCTCTAGCCCAAGCCAGTCAAGGACTCATTCTTAGAGGAAAAGCCAACTCCAGCCTTCTCTGATTTACAGGATATATCTTCAAAAAGAAAAAAAAAATGCTGTGGCTATTTATTCAAAATTCCTTGTTTTTGCTATGAATTATGAATATATTACCCACACCAACTGCCCTGTTCCTAACATCTTTGAAAAGAAAAGTACACGTGTGCAGTATTTTATTAAAACAACATTTTATTTAAGAATGGAATCTTGTGGCCGTCGGTGGTGGCGCACACCTTTAATCCCAGCACTCGGGAGGCAGAGGCAGGTGGATCCCTGTGAGTTTGAGATGAGTCTGGTCTACAAGAGCAAGTTCCAGGACAGCCTCCAAAGCCACAGAGAAACCCTATCTCGAAAAACAAAACAAAACAAAAATGGAATCTTGCTTATTACTCTATTTTATTTTGTTTTGTTATTTTTCTTTTTATTTTATATGTATGAGTATTTTGTCTGCATATGTGTCTGTGCACCATGTGCTTGTCTGGTGCATATAGATTCCTAGAAACAGAGGTATAGTTGTTGTGAGCTGCCATGAGGGTGCTGGGTATTGAATCCAGTCCTCATAACACATGTAAAAATGTCAAGCATTGTAGTACACATTTGTAACACCAGCAATGGTGAGACAGGAGGTGGTCACAGGTTGAACCCAAGCTTAGCATATGAGGTGGCTGACATTCCAGGCCAATAAGAGATCCTGTCTCAAAGGGTTGAGGATGCAACACATGAGGTTACACACACACACACACAGAGAGAGAGAGAGAGAGAGAGAGAGAGAGAGAGAGAGAGAGAGAGAGAGAGAGAGAGGAAAAGGACATGGTAGGAAAAGATCTTTATTGCAAACTAAGAGGAGCTTAGAAGGTCACCTTCTGGGAGACTGACTTCAGGAAATAGTGATTGCTGACTGATGGGGATACAGCTGGGCATTTGTATTCAAATGACACCCATCTAATCACCAAGTAAGATGCTTTTCAATTTTGCAAATCTCAAGAACAAAGATCAGCTGAGCCTAGTAGCCACAAGACTTTGATACCCACCACTCAGGAGGCTGAGGCGGGAGGACTGCTAGTTCAAGACCAGTCTGAGCTGCTGAGAAAGTTCAAAGCCAGACTCAACGACTTAGTGAGACCATATTTCAAATGGGGGGGGATTGGTTGGAATAATGGTGCTAGGAAGACAATTGTGAAAGTGCTTGCTATACAAGCACAATGACCTCAGTTCGGTCATCAGCACCCATGTAAAAGCTGGGGCAGCAGCCCTGTCTGTAATCCCAGACAGGGAAGTGGAGACAGGAGGATCCCTGAGGAAACTCTATTTCCCCAAATTCCAAAAGGCAGAAGGGACAAATGACTGTCTGTAGTGCTTACTTGCTCACCAAAGTGCATGCTGGTCTCCAGGCTCCCTCTTACCACAAGTGCATGCTACACATCTCCAAGCCCATGCTACTATCTTAGCTCTTCTCATCTCCCCTACACTAACTCCCCCCAGCTCCCTGGCTTCCCACCCCCAGCTACTCATTCTCCTAGTAGCCCTGCCATTTTGGCTAAGCTCACTCTCCGTCTCCCTCTCCATTCCACACTCTCCCTCTCACTAGGTCTCTGTCTGTCTGTCTGTCTGTCTGTCTTCTGCTCTCTATCTCCCTTCTCCTCCCTCTGCTCTCTATGTTCTGTGAGGACCAAAGTTCTGTTTTATCTTTAAATTATGCTGCTTTAGCGATCTATAAATTAAAAATGCCTCTAACCTATAACCCCCCTTGCCCAAGAACAAATAATTTCCTGGTATGTTGGGGGCTGTTGTTCATCTAAGCTAACAAGCCACGTGTTTCCACTTCTGTAAACAAGGCTGGTTGCCCCAACTGTATAGGATATGCTTGATCATATGTAGGCAGGAAATATGTCAGGATGCATGCTTGCCCCCATTGAATGAAAGCAGAAAGTATGAAGGTTTTCCCTTTATGAGAACTAGACCAACAGGGGCTAGAGAGATGGCTGTTCTTCCAGAGGGCGAGAGTTCAATTCCCAGCAACCACATGGTGGCTCACAACCATCAGTAATGAGATCTGCTGCCCTCTTCTGGCCTGCGGGCATACAGACATATGCTGTATATATAATAAAAATAAATAAATAAATGTTTTTTTTTAAAGAACTAGACTAAGTTTCAGTCACTCTCTGGAAATCCCAGGTATGGATCTGGACAGTGTCCATCATCCTGTTCAGTATTAATAAAACTTGCTTCAAATCTGGCTCAAAATTTGTGAGAGTGGTCCTCTTCTCACTGGATGGTTTTAACAGTTCCTCTCTCTGCTGCTTCTCCTATGGCCAGGTACAGTCTGCCAGCCATGTCCCGCCTACTACATCCTCTCTCTGCTTTAGATTCTTTCAGGTGCCTCTGGATGTTCTCTCTCTCATCTCTACAATAAAAACCTTCCCTTTGCCGGACGGTGGTGGCGCATGCATTTAATCCCAGCACTCGGGAGGCAGAGGCAGGCGGACCTCTGTGAGTTCGAGACCAGCCTGGACTACCAAGCGAGTTCTAGGACAGCCTCCAAAGCCACAGAGAAACCCTGTCTCAAAAAAAAAAAAAGAAACAAACAAACAAAAAAAACCTTCCCTTTAACCATACCAAGCAATGATCATGTTTCAATTTATACTCAGGCTGAGATGCTGAGCTCCCCATTCAATGAATCATGCTTCAAAAACTAAGGTGAAGAGTAATTGAGGAAGACACCCAACTTTGATACCTGTTTTACACGCACACACACACACACACACACACACACACACACAGGTTGGGGATCTAGCTTAGTGACCAGAGTATCAAGTGTATGCAAGGTCCTAGGTTCAGCCCTCTAATACCAAAGGCAGTGAGAGTGTTATTTCCTAAAACCTTTCTCGTCCCCATTTCCCAAGTGCAGCTCCTGATGTGTTATACAATGGACAGGCTGGGGCCGGCAGGATGTCTTCCTGAAGACTCTCTTGCTGATCACTAAACTAACCTGCTGACAATTATTGTGAAAGACAAGGGTCAGGTGAGGTTAAATGGGCAGGCCACCACAGTCTGGCCTCAGTGTTGAGCTTCAGAACTACGAAGACAATGTTAGCCAAGACAGCACACTAGTTACCAGACCACAGGTCAGCAAGAATGGTTCTGGGATCACACTGTAACTTGAAGGAGGGTGGGGCGGAGCCTCCGCCAAGTGAAGCAATAGCTTGCAAGCAAGAGTGTGTGAGTGGGTGGGGGCAGGACTAGGCTAGTGGTCTGCTGTCAGCACAGGTTGGGGTTACAGGTAAAGAAAGCCTAAGGCAGCTCAAAGCACTCAGGAAAGCTCAAGGAAGCTTCTGCAAGTTTCTGTTAAACAATTTATTTCATCTTGGTGCACACTCCCACCTCCAAAGCCTCCTCCACCACCCCTTATCACCATAACCTTAACCTTGCATTGCCTGAAGCAAGAGCTGATGATTGCCCAAGACTCCTGGAATGTGTTTATTTCAGAGGGTGAGTTTTCAGGCTAGTCTGGGGCCTTCAGAAATGCTAACCCTTCCAGGGAGAAGGGAATTGGTTCTCATCTGTCTGAAGGAACCCCACAGCTTAGGCTTGGGGCCCACACTGAATGCCCCAAACTCCACTTCTTGCCAGAGGATTCTAGCAGAGTGGGAAGCTTTTAGATTTCCAGCTGTGCCCCTGATAAGCACACTAACAGACAACACTCATCAGCTTGCTGTGTGCATTATCTCTACAGTTAGCTTCATCCTCTCAACATACTATCAACGCCACATCACGTTAGACACAGAGGGACTGAGGAACTAGTCACAATGGTGGGACCAGTTAAACAATCAGGCAGTCTTGACACTGGAGAGAAGGTGGTCCAGTGGTTAAGAGCACTGGCTGGGAGCTGGGTGGTGGTGGCGCACACCTTTAATCCCAGCACCCGGGAGGCAGAGGCAGGCGGATGTCTGTGAGTTCAAGGCCAGCTTGGTCTACAGAGCAAGCTTCAGGACAGCCTCCAAAGCCACAGAGAAACCCTGTCTCGAAAAACAACAACATCGACAACAATAATAATAATAATAATAATAAAATAAAAAGAGCACTGCCTGCTATCCCAGAGGACTCGGGATCAGTTCCCAGCACCCACATTGGTGCCTCATGCCTGCCTGTACCTTCAGTTGCAAGGAATCCTTTTCTAGCCTTCTTGGGCACCTGCACATGCTCCACAGGAGGGGATTCACGAGTGGTACTGTTGTGCTCAAATTCTGAAGCCCCAGTCCGTTGCAAAAGCAAGGAGTCTTTTATTGTTTAACAAGTTAACTGTCTTAACTCAGCAGTTGGCATGAGAAAGACCCAAAGGGGCCTAGAGGTGGGGAATTTATTAGGAGGAACAAGGGTGTCTAGGGGTATGCAGTCTCAGAATTGGTGCACTTCCGGCTGACCTGTCCTGTGTTGTTGGTTGACTGGTTGTTATGGCCTATAGGCCCTCCCAGGGTGGTTGCTATGCTCTGCATGTCACTGTTATACCACTGTTACCTTAAAGCAGGTCCAGAGCCTGTAAAGCACTTCCAGAGCCCGCCAGCTAACTTGTGATTGGTTCCTGGCCACATGGAGGGTATGACTAGGAGGTCAGGAAGCTCAGCGACTGAGTCAGAGGCCTACATCTTGCTGGGTCTTTTCTGCAACCTGTCATGGCTGCTAAAGCAGGGCTGGGCGAGGGTCTGGTCCCTTCAGTACTTAACCTGGTTTAAAAAAAAAAAAACAAGCCGGGCGGTGGTGGTGCACGCCTCTAATCCCAGCACTCGGGAGGCAGAGGCAGGCGGATCTCTGTGAGTTCGAGGCCAGGCTGGACCGACAGCCTCCAAAACAATACAGAGAAACCCTGTCTCGTAAAAACAAAAAAATAAAAATAAAAATAAAAAATTAAAAGGGAGTATAGTGATTGTGCACAGGTGGTGCTCTTAGTGGCTGCAGCTGAGAGCATATCCTGTCAGAACCCCGAGGACAGACCAATACAGATACCTGAATACTAACAGAATGTGAATTGTCTCTATAAGTAGTAAACGTGTGTCAGCCAGGCGAGGCAGGCGGATCTCTGTGAGTTCGAGGCCAGCCTGGTCTACAGAGCAGGTTCCAGGACAGCCTCCAAAACAATACAAAGAAACCCTGTCTCAAAAAAACAAAAAACAAGCCGGGCGTTGGTGGCGCACGCCTTTAA